ATCACTTGTCATGGCTACCCCGCCAAAACGTATCTCTGGCGAATTGTAAAATCACCAGCTATACGTCAAGAGTGAAAAGTCATCGCGGAAAGCTTTATTGCCAATCTGAGACATTCTAATCCTCTTGACAGATCAGTGATTTGCAACCCAATACGTACAAGCACAGTAAAAATAAAAAGCAGAGAAAATCCGTCCTACCTGGGCGATTGCTTACCTGGGATGTTCAATGATTGCCATAGCAACCGCTTCTTTGTCGTTCGAGATGGCAAGGTCAAGAACGTTTTGATTTTGCGAGTTTAACAGGATCTCTTGTTCTTTAACAGAGAGCAGGTAAGTTACTAGTGACGCATGGCCAGCGGTCGCTGCCAGATTGAGAGCCGTGTTCTGTGTCAATAAATGAGTTAACTCGTTACTCGTTAAGTCAATGAATGTTAACAGCTAAGAGGGGAGGTAGCATATAAGCCATTTGTTTTTTTTTTTTTATTTCAAACATCAGAAGCAACCCTTAGTAGTCAATATCTAATGCATGAATAAGTTAAAAAGTGCAATATACACGTTAGGGGCTCGGTGTGTATGTCAAAATGTTTGTATAAAACAATTTATTAGAAGAAAACACACGCGAATTTCTTAAAACGTTGAAAATGGTTTCAAGTATCGCATACCACGGATGTACGATAAAGTAACGCGCCTATTTCCATTCGAATTTTCTACTTAGCAGTAAAATACTACAGCAGTCCACAGCTTCGACTACTAACCTTTGGTCTGATGAATGTAAGTTTAATATGAAGTGAATACCTGATATTTGTCAATGGCGTTTAAACTTCCTGGGTGCGTTTCCAGTATGTACTCGACGCACTCCTCTGAGCCCTTTGTTGCTGCCAGGTGAAGTGGTGTTCGGTCATGATGATCCCTAATAAAAGTGGCGACCATTAAATTTGGCAGAGCACAGTCCATCTTTCTTTCTTAGTCCCTTACGTGAGTCGAAATTGATCCGGGACCGAAAAAGTATCCTGTCGACTTTTTCGCTTACTTCTTAACACTCTCGCGTAATATTGACCACTTAATCGCAGATTAACTGATCAACAGATCATCAGTACTGGCCGCCTATCAAAAGCTTTAGTACACTCGATTAAAACTCTATTTACTATTCAAGTAGTTGATATGATACTAGTTAAGGATAAAAGTAACAGATAGTGCTCTTTCAGTTTACCTTTCAATTGTTGCACCTTCCATCAAGAGAAGTTTAGCTATTTTTTCATGGCCCTCGTGACACGCCAAATGCAGGGGTGTTTTTCCTTGGTTATTCTGTACATTTATGATTCTCACATTTCTTTTTTTCAGTAGCCTTTGAGCAATCTCCAGCCAGCCATACCTTCAAAAAGTCAAGAAGTGTGTAAAGTTCACAATGAAAACATTTAGTTGCCTAGAGTACGTCATCATTTGAAGTATCAAAAAGAAACGCCATAGCTCTGCATAGCATACCGGGAGACGATATGGAGAGGCGTATCCAGTGAATCTGATGTGACTTGTTCAGCAGCTTTGTTCTTGCTGATGAAGAGTATGATGTGCTTTAGACATAAAACAAAAATCAGTAAACAAAAATAAGGAGTCGGTGTTTTTACACTTTCCAGTACTACTCGAGAATTTTTAGTGATGAGGATCGTTCGTTTGCACTGAGGTAAAAGAGAAACTTGATTCGCATCAGAAAGATTTCATCTCCCACACACTAGTTTCCACTAAAAGTCCGGCTGTTGCTGCAATGTTTCGTTCCAACAATATCGACGGCATCACGTTCCATGAAAAACGACCTTTTTTACTTATTTGTAATCCAAAATTAGAAGAGAGACAGGCTGATTTTGATCGCAGTACCTCAAGACATCCAGCTCGTGCTGCATAATGTACCGGAGTATATCCAGTCGCATCTTTGTCAACCACTAATGACTTGGATGAGGGACTCTAGAATCAATTGGGAGGATAATGTACGTAAGTTACGAGTAACCTACCAAAGTGCTAAGGTTTTCAGTGTCTTTCGTGTCAGTGCAAGGACATAGTTTGGACATGGCGAAAAACTTTGACTATACTTCATTATTTTGATTTGTTTTATAAATATACCAGAATCAATTACGATAAAGAAGGCAACTGACTGTCTTCGGGAACTGTGTTCATGAACCTGGAACGTTGAACACAAATGAAGTGAGATTTCCCCCAACCAACTTCAATTTTTAGCTCGAAAAGAATTGTGCACATGAGAAACGGAGGCTTGGATATATTTCTTCAAAGTGTATTTGTAATGGCAAAAAATTAATTCATACGTAATTTTTCTAGTAAAGTTAAGGAATATTGATTAATGAAAAACAAATTGAACTAATAATGTTGTGACGTAGGTACCTTCATTAAGACATCCATGGTACTTGTGTTCCCAATAGCTACATGCAGAGCCGAGCGTAGCTCCATATCTTTGAGTGTTATATCGGCTCCCCGATCCATAAGGAGCTGAACAGTCTCTGTTCCACCCACTGAAGCGGCTAAGAAAAGAGGAGTTTGGCCTTCAATGTCTCTGGGGTCAGCTTCGGCGCCCTGAGTAAAAAAAATTAATGAATAATAAATAGGAAGGACTCAAAATGACCCAAGTGTGTATCCTGTCGATATTTTTTATTATGGCTTCAATCGGCTCCTCCTGAAGGAAACGCAATGTCATAGAGAACCAAGAATTTCAAAATAAGGAATAGTTATACAATGAAAACGGTATTAAGCCTTTTTTTCACACTGCAAATATAACGAAAGGAATGAAAAATCAGCACAGTGCCTTATCATCCTCACTGTCCCAATCAATGCGTTTTGAGCAAAGGTTAGAAAAGAGCCAGCTTTTGTTAAATACTCTTTAGAATTCCAAGAAGAAGGGAAGGAAACAACAGAAGGAAAAAGAGCATCTCCTGGAATAGCTTTTTCTAATAGTATTTAGATTCTATTGATTATAATGAAAAGAAATTCCTCACCTGATCCAATAAAAAGTTTACCACTGTGAAGTGATTGTTCATTGCTGCTCGGTGAATGGGAAACATGCCTTGTTCATCGATGATCTCTTCTTTGCAGATGTCATGGATCTCATTGGTCAGCAGTTGAACGATCTCAAGAGAGCCTTGTGAGCATGCTAGATGTAAAGCAGTGCTGTTATCTGATTCCTGTTATGGGGTAAAATGTGACATTTTATCGAAAAATTTTTTGAAATACCAATAACTTGCTAAGATAATCAGAAGAAGGTGTAACATGACTCAGAAGAAGGTAATTTACGAGGAATCATCAATTTACAAAAGAGTTGATTTTAGATATATGAAATTCATATATTTGCACTGCGGTGAAGAGATGAAATT